CATCAATTTGTTCAGAGATAAAATGATTAATATAAACATGATTGAACTGTGTAATAATAAAAATAGTAATGTTGAACAATAAAATATAAGTTACGTTAGTATTAACAACTATAAATGATATATAATCAAATGTCATCGATGGCAAATAATTTCAAATTATTTGACAAAAGTAAATAATTTAAAAATGTTTTTTATTGAAATACCCCCTTTTAAAAAAACATTTGTCAAACAATTGTTGAAAATACACCTTGATATTTTTTAAAAATTTATTTTAATACAAACAAATAAATGTTTATTTATCAAAAACATTATGTACTATAATTATTACTTTCAATCCTCAAACAATGAAAAAATTTATAATAATATCTTAGATGCATGTACACATAATTCATAAATCATAACCTTAAATTGTTGAAAAATTATGATATTTTCTTTATTTAAGTGTTATCATTTAAAGTTTTGGTTTGATTTTACATGTTTACACATTTAAAAAATTACGTTTTAATTTTAGGCCGTTTTCAAATGAAGAGTGTAGCAATATACAATATACATATACAATATATATACAACAGTATAACAATATACACCAACTGTTGTTAAATTATTGAAAAATATTATTAAATAAGTGTTTCTTTTTAACTTTATCATTATTGTTGTTGTGTTTATAAAAATACATGTGTTTACTGTTGTGTGTTGTAATATGAAAAACAATAAAACTAAATTAAAAAAATTAATTAAAAATAATATCTATCTTATTTGTAATTAAAACAGACAACTGTTGAATGAAAATAGTGAACATCGACTTAGTTACACAATTAAATTAATAACATTTGTGTATATTTGATTTTTCTCTGTTTCAACAAATAGTCACACGAATTTATATATCTTACAATAAATATGTATAAATAACAATGCCATTAACAATCATTTTCAACTGGAAATTATATTCGGCAATAAAGGTAGTATTAATATCATTGTTTTTTGTGTTTATATATATAAAGGTTTAACAGTGTTAATAACTTTGTTATGCGAATAATTGAAAACGCCACCAGTTTAAATTTGAAAAGCTATTGAAATTTAAATGTTTTATTTTTGGTTTATAATGGCAATAATAACCAAATATTACCAATTGAAACTTTATTTAACATTAATATTTATTTTTATTCAATAAAAATTTTTTATTTATATTACTCTATTAATAGGAAAAATTGAGTGTGTTAAGTTAAGAGAAAGGACGGACATGGTGACGAAGGACGGGAATATAGGCCGAAGGACGTCCTTTGTGGTTTAGGGACGTCCTCCCGCTATAAAGGACGTCCTCCTGTGTATATGGTGTCCTTTCTATCATTTTCGTGTCCGCGGCATTTTTTATTCATTATCGAAACTATATAACAAAGTATATTTTTATTATAAATATACAATCAAAAAATATAATTATTTCCAAAAATAAATTTAATCAAAGACAAAAACTAATTAACAAGTAATTTTGTTATATATTAATGGTTTATAAAAATTAATCATTTTTTTCATTTTACCATTGAGTTTTCTTTGAAAAACTAATTAAATTTGCATATTTTATAAAAACCATTAATTTATAACGAAATTACTTGTTGTTTAACATTTGTCTTTGAATTTATTTATTTTTGGAAATAATTATATTTTATAATAGTAAATTCATAGTAATATTATAACTCATTATATAGTTTTAAAAATGCCGCGGACACGAAAATAATAGAAAAAACACAATATACACAGGAGGACGTCCTTAATAACGGGAGGACGTCCCTAAACCACAAAGGACGTCCTTCTGCCTATATTCCCATCCTTCGTCACCATGTCCGTCCTTTCTCTTTAATATTGATTTTTGAGTTAATACTTTTTATATTTGAATATTTTTTACAATAAAAATACAATGAATATTATTTGTAATGACTCATTTTTTATTATTTTCAGCATTATAATATTGTATTAATATTTAAATTAATAAATTGTTATTTAATAATGGGTGTTTTTACAAAAATAATCTCATAACTTGTAATAATAAATGATTTTTAATCTACAGATACAAGAAAAACCAAAAATTAAATCATAAACCAGGGACCAGACTAAAGGCGATCACGGTGAATCTATTTATGTTGATTATTTTGGCTTTTTTACTCAGGAAATAAATATAGAACGATTATTATTAAAAATGAAAAATTTAGAAAATAAATTTTTACCTTATAAAAATACAACATACTTTGCTCCAAATATAAAAAACAAAATAATTGCATAATAATATTTTATATTTTGAATCAGTTTCTCAACATATTCTGTTATAAAAAATAATTCTTGTTACTTTTTTAAAAAAAGTTTAATATATTTACTAAATTATATAGTAAAAATAATTATTTTTTCAAATATATATAAAAACCGCAATTGAGTTGTGTGAACGGGGAATTTGTATTTATTGATAGTAAAGCGTTTCCGTTGATCTTGCGGAGACTTTGGATACATTTCCGTAGCTAGTTAGTTACAATTAACACAACAATGAAAGTCCTCCGCTATTCTTTATTAAAACTTTTTTGTTAAGAAAAAAACGTGAAAAAGTTTGAAATAGTATATTCAATCGTAAATAATCTATAATACAGAATCATCATCTATATATAAAATATGCATTTTTCATCATCTAAATATAGAACAATTAACATAAAAAAAACACATTGTGCTAATAATTTGTATTATTATATATAATATCGTAATAGTACACCATTCATGATCGTTTATTATATCATTTAAATTATTGATTATAACATGTTTATCGCATTAATCGATGGTAACACCAACAATAAAAAATTGAATTGTCAATAACAATGTTTGATTGTTATCACAATTTGTTATTTTTGCTATTCATCATTAATTGATTGTTTGAATATTTAATGTATCTTAATTTTTATTGACATTTTATTATAAAATCTTGTATAAACAAGTGATAGAGCTAGAAACAACGATATAACATTAATATGTAAACGGTTTTAACATTTTTTAATGTGGATTATTATTAAGTTAAATTATTCATTGATATTTTAAACAAAAAAAATCGAACAAACAAATTGTGTTATAATTACTTTACATGAAACAGAGAAAAATGAATGTTTTGGAAATTGTTAAACATTATTTTTAATATTTGTAATGTAAAAATTGATATTTATTTACAAATCCTTGAATTAACAATCATTTTATCAAAAAATACAATATACAAAAATAATACATTAATTTCAATTATGAATTTAAACATTCAAAATAAGTTTTATATACTTTTTAATGAAACCGAATTAAATCTAAATGAAAAATCACTTAAATGGTTGTATTGTAATATAACAAGCTTTAATATTCATTCTCTTGATTGAAATAACACGAGAATGATATAAACATAAATTACAAGCAATATAAAATTGATTGAAAATTTAAATTTATCTTATTTTTTTTGTTATTAATGTTTACGAACAAATACAGAAAAACTTTCAATGAATTTGTGAATTATCAGAATTGTTTATTAAAAAAACAAACATAACCTATCTTTAACAATATAGTTTGAAATACAAATACTACACCTTTGAAAACCGTTTGAATATTGTTTTTATTTTGAACAAATACCTGTAAGTATTATGTATGATAAAAATAATGTCAATTAAACACAATAAACATACTCTCAAAAAATAACAAATTTATCAATAATTGGGTACTTTTAATAATTCATATTAAAGTATGTTTATCTGTAAACAATTGATTATTTAACAAATAAATTTAAATATGGTAAAGGGTTAACTGTATCAAGTGTGTCAAGTTACTTTAAAATAAGTTTTCATTTATTGATCAAATTACAAGTGTTGTCATAATTTAAATGATATAATAAACGATCATGAATGGTGTACTATTACGATATTATATATAATAATACAAATTATTAGCACAATGTGTTTTTTTTATGTTAATTGTTCTATATTTAGATGATGAAAAATGCATATTTTATATATAGATGATGATTCTGTATTATAGATTATTTACGATTGAATATACTATTTCAAACTTTTTCACGTTTTTTTCTTAACAAAAAAGTTTTAATAAAGAATAGCGGAGGACTTTCATTGTTGTGTTAATTGTAACTAACTAGCTACGGAAATGTATCCAAAGTCTCCGCAAGATCAACGGAAACGCTTTACTATCAATAAATACAAATTCCCCGTTCACACAACTCAATTGCGGTTTTTATATATATTTGAAAAAATAATTATTTTTATTTCTTTATTTTTTTAAAATAAGAAATAATCTTTCGATTGCACAATAATTAATATATTTTGATTATATATACTATATATAATTAATTTTATAAATAAAAATATGTTTGTTTTTTAATTAGTAAAAAATATGGTTATTATTAAAAATCATATTCGTGTATAGTAAAATTAATTTTTTTCTTTGTTATATTTTTAAAATCATCACCATATAAATAGAGTTTAAAAATCACTGTGATTATTTATTTTCATAGTGATTTTCACACTTCATGATGATTATCAAATTCACTGTGATCGCCTTAAATTAAGCCGTTTTATTTTTGGTATAAAGTTTTCTTGTCTTTGAAAAAAATGAATAAATGATTTAATTGAATGGTTGTGTTGAAATTAAACAATGTTGAACAAAAAAATAATATTTTATAATTTAATAACAATAAATAATAATAAACTTACTATTATAACTCACATTAAACTATTGTTTATTCATACTTTATACAATCCATTCATTTTTTTTCATCCCGAAAAATAACCGTTTTTGAGACCAAATAATAAGTAAATTACACATTATTTATATATTTGTCCGTTTTATTGTATAAAATCCGCTTAATATTCAATAGCTAAAATTAGTCTGGTCCCGGTTTTTTCTGTGGTCTGTATAATTTTTTATAATTGTTTGCAAAGAAAGATTTGGAAATTTTAAAACAACGAAAAACTGTGAAAAACAAAATGCTACGTCTTTCTGGTTATCACATCATGATAGTTTCGAAGTACCTCGAGTTTTTTAATAATACAAACTTTATTAACTTAGAGTTTGTATGCAAGAAGTTTGGTGGTAATATGGAGAAGTTCCACTTCAACCCAATTCCGTTGGATTATAAAACAATTGGGTACTATTCAAACATCGAGACACTTCACTTGTGGGATGTAAAAAATGAGAATTTTAAAAATGGATTTATTATCAACAAAAGAGAAAATAAAGATAGTAAAAATAAAAATGTTTTGAAGAAAAAGTTTTATAGAATCATTGTGTGGTTCAATGTTGATTTCGAGACTGTTGACAATAACAAAGATCGAAACATCGAATTTAAAAATGTTACTTACACTCA